TCCTTCAAAAGCATGTTTGATTCTTTTACAAATAACATATTTCTGTGTTTTTACAAAAAAATCACACACATAACAAAAAGAAAAACACACAAACTAATAGAATTTACTGTTCAAAATCTAACACCAAGCTCCTTAGATTAAAATGTTGCTACGAATATTACATAACAACTGAAAACTGTTCAATAAGGGAATGAAGCACACACTATGTCCACTTAATAGAAAGATACATTGATTAGAATATTCAACTTTTTCAACTATTATTTTTGGAATACTAGTTTCCTTCAGACATTGTGATGCAGAGTAACAATATATGTACACACCTCACAAGAACAAAAACTGGAAAGATGGGTGAAATTAAATTTAAGGTGATAAAAACAACTTGTATCAACTCAACAGTTTTTCTTATTGTATTCATGGCCTTTTTTCTAGATTCTGACCTTCCTTCTTTCTCTTCTTCGTCCTCCTCCCCTGTTAAAAGGTCTGCTGGTGTTTACATGGTGTGATAATTCTATCTTCACCGCATCACACTATACTCATCACCTGACACAACACACTTTCCTTCCATTAGTATTAATAATAATACTTACTCTGTGTGTACAGCGGGCCATCTCTTTCATTAAAAATGGATAGAGCAGCATCTCTGCCTGCAGCTATCTGTGTTGTTGTTTTTCCCCTTCATTGACTTTTGGGCATGCTTTCATTTCTGTCTCACCCACTTCTTCAGTTAATTAGGTGTGTGTGTGTGTGTAAGAAGGTATGACACACATTTGCATCTGATGCATTTTTCTGGTTTTGCTGTTAATGTCTGCATACACATTTTAAACACACCTGGAAATGATCATGCAAAAATAACGGCACACAGCATTTCCATTAAGTGTGTAGATGCCACCTCTTCCTGTCATCATGTGGCACTGTGTAACCAGTATAAACAGTTACCCAGCCCTAAAATGATTCTTTCTTGAGGGCAATCACAAGTTTATCTTTTACACAGTGAAAGAAAGAACCATGACCGACACGGATGTCCTTTTTTTTGTTTAACCAAACATTAAAAGACAACTTAAAAGGCTCTGTTCAATTCTTACCAACACTATTTCTAATTCAAACCTAATTTCTGAAGACCTATCAACCTTGTAGGATTGTTGTTAACTTTGGGAAGATGATTCTTGTATATTTTACTCAGAAAAGCTTCTTCAGCAAGTTAAAGATTTGGACTGTGAAATGGGACAGATACACAGAAACTCATAGTGGTCGACAAATTCCATTCACATCTAAAGAAACCATTATTAAAGAAACAAAGCATGCTCGGTCTCAGCTTCTTTTTTTTAAACTTGTGATTCACATGCAACTTTAGCTTTGCATGCAATACTTCAACAAAGATTCTAAAAACGATGACAAATGCAGAGAAGGGAAAAGTAGAAACGAAAGAAAAATTTGGACCCCTAAAATACCTTCAATACAAATCACATTTTACAGATCATTTCAGGGTAGAGTCAGCTACTTTATTTTTTGGTTGGAAAAACTTACATTTTACAGTTTTCTTTTCGCACAGCTGGTGTGATTCATTTTGTTGGAATAACAATATCCCAACCCGCTGAAAGAGTAGTTTTATTCTGCTGAATGTCCTACCTCTACTACAAAAATGACTAACTCAGAATGATTTAGAGTTCTCTCCAACTGCTCTTTGAAACCTGTCACAGTCTCATACTAATAAATCTGCTCTGTCATATTTTTGTCCATGTGGATGCGACGGTCTTGGACCTGTAAGTACTCTTTATCTTTTAAATGATTATTTTCCCCATCTGTCAGCAGTGCACCCTTTTGATTTCCCTTAAGAATCTGGTACACAATTTTGCAAAAGAAGGCATGTCTTTAAAAAAAAGTCAACACTAATAAGAACAGACCTTTTGATTTAGCTCATCTCTCTATATTCAAAGGTGCTCTGACACAGAGATCACTAAAGCTAAACAATGTAAATTATTTAACCATATCTTCAAACTTACCTGAGTATCTCATAGACTTTATTTTCCTTAGGTCAAATGAATGGATTGCTGATTAGCGTTTGATGTAAATCACTACAGGTTATGGACCATCTTGTGATCCATTGGCTTGCAAAGCAGAACCTCTGGTGTAACAAACTCCGTTATTGGTTATTGGCCAAGGGCCACACATCCAGTCTAAGAATGTTTCCACGATGTTTTTGCATAGAAACACATTGTCAGACCGCAATAAGTTCTTTCAGTAAGTAGACTTCTAGCTTTTGATCCAAAGTAGCCAAAGTAATTTCGCACACCATATCCAGTTTCTGAAGTACTTATGGCGAAGTGTGATCATGTGTGCCAGGGTCTGTCAGTCTAAAGTATGGCAAGGATTGTGGTGTGTAGCCATGTGCTCGCGTGCACTGTCCACCGCTGTCTGAGACTCAGCAGCGAAAGGTGTTATATTAAGTGTGATTTTGGTGCTTTAAGTGAAAAAAATCACACATCTCTGTGTGGCAACACCTGTCAATCAGATTTCTGAAACTAACATCACTGAAGTTTATGCTGTACACGGATTACTTTCAATCATGCAGGCGGACATGTTAGGATACAAGGCCCTGAGATCGTTTAAAATAACTGTTCCCTACAGGTATATACTTCTTTAACACTTAAAAAAATATTCACAGGAAAATTGGAGCTAAGTGAGTTAACTGCTGTGGCTCTGTCATACCTCATCTACTGAAAAAAACAGAGAGTGCATTCAAACAGAATCCTAAAATGGACTGAAGATGAAATAAAGCAGCAGAGTAGATGCCTGACTGAATACCAGGGGTATATAAATCTGTGCTGGCACTTCATTAAACAGTTCCAGCTGGCAAGCTGGTTCAACCTTAGAGCTGACCTCTGTTTAAACCAACAGTGAATCGATTGTGTGTGTGTTTATGTATGTATGTGGGCATTTGTGATGGGGTTAGCTATCACAAATACTGAATTTCTGCTTGCCTGTATGTGTGCATGTGTGAGTCGTTGCCATCGAGTAGTTACGGTTTGATTCAGCTATCTTTTCTGAATGTGAGAATCTTGTGTGAGAATCCTCTACATCCTCATCAAACAATCTTACTATCCTGCTCATTATAAAATTAAAAAAATGTTTCAACAAAGCGTGGGTGGCACATTAAATGAAAATGCATCACACAGTAACCTGGAACACACACACACATATACACAAACATCCACACATGTTACTCCACTTTCTGACCCCTCACCTCCTGTCAGCTGTCCTTAATGTCAGGGGGAACAGTCCTCTCTGTCTGATCACATTTCTTCCATCCAAAAGAGCTTCAGGATCCACATGCTGAGTATTAGCAGGAGCTAAAATGAAAATATTGATTCATGATATTGCCCAACTTGTTCATATCCTAATTTTATCTATGCATTCTAACCATTTAAATCAGTCCAAAGTACCCAGTAAAAGGTCAAATGCATCACCGCTCCCCCTTTTGAAGGATGCATGTAAAAACGTAAATGTAAAATGTAAAACCGCATGTTCCAAAGAGCAGATTTCACAAGGAGCTTACACAGAATGGTTTGAGTGCGAGAAAACCAGCAAAGGTTTGAGTGATGAATTACAATAACTTGTTGTTCTGTTCGTGTGTAAGGTGGATGTTGACAGGGGGGTGGCATGTGGACAGAAAAACGTGAGAGTGGCTGTTTCCGTTTTAAACTACAGACATAAAGGTCAGAAAGAACGGCAGCTCGGAACTCAAAAAAGGATGTAAGCTTTCGTGCTTTAGGGACCTCACGCAGCTGGGAGCAGCAAGCTGAGTCTTTATTCAAATATAAAATCCTTCAGACTGTCCTGTGTTATGTGCACTGCTGAAATTATGAAGCCTGTTGGAGCTCTTCATTCTTAATGAATTCATTTCAAGTAATAATTTCAATTAATGTTGATATCAGACATTAGACCTTGGATTATATTGCGGTTTGATGGTTAGCACTGTCCAGCCACACGTGACCCTGAACTGGATTAACCATTAGAATACAGAAGAAAGGACAGATGCATCAAACATGGATGCTGCAGGGTGCAGCAGGGACAACTGCAATGCTGTTGGAAATAATAAGTATGTAAAAATAAGAGGTGAGAGCCTCCATGTAATGAATGAAAACGTCAAATGAAAACTTCAGAAAAAAAAGGTTTGTGTTCATTAATAAAAGCATCAACAGGCTGGATTTTGGTGACAGCAAATCAGCCAAGGACAGAAATGAGAGGCTACAATGCACACAGGCGCACAAGTGCTTAAGTTACAAAAATATAGCTGGTCCTGGTGACTCAGTGTATTTTAAGACTGCAAATGGAGCGCTCATTCGGTTTTTCCATTTCATTCCTGTTCTCATTTCCATTTGTACTGCTATTAATTGTACTAAAAACAAAATTATTGTTTGCTTCTGGCACAACAAATGATATCAGGTGCTCAGTGACCTGAGGTCTGCTTCGGCATATTTTCCTTAGCAACTGAAAGTTTTCAGCGGGTGGCACATCTGGACGGGAGGCTGGTCATTTTAGCATTTGAACTCTTAATTCCATGATATAATGCATAATGCTTGTAAAACAACCAGCACTCTTTCAGTATATGTCCTTTAGTATCAAGGATGCCCTCAAAGAGCGTACCCAGACCACTAATACTGTCCTGTGAAGACACCGGTGCAGATACAAGTTTGATTTTTATCACTTACTGTAAGCAAATTGGCAAAAAGCATCCAGCTGAAAAATAAAGATAATGTTAAATGGAAACATAGGGACATATTCTGCCTCCTTGTGGCCATTAGAGAAACCAACAACTTATTTCCTAAACGGACCAGAACTACATGGACGCACGCTTCGCTGGAAATTCAGAAGAAAAAAAAGGACTAAAACTTTAAAGAAATTTATTTTTTACATCTTCACTGAATTCTTTTTTATCCTTGTTCCAAAATAAATAAATAGCTATCATGGAACAAATCTTTTCGCTGTAAACCCAAAGTGATTTACTTTTTCCTCTTGCCTTTTCCTTTTTTGCCCTTTTTTTTCTTGCCCTTGTTTTTTAAAGTCTTACGAATACTGTAACCTCTCCACCAGGCTTGGATGACAATAGCAGCTTTGGTCTTTAACTCCAGCTCCCTCGTCTCCCGTATTCTTTTCTCCTCCGCCAGACGCCGCTTCTCCTGGATCTTGTTGCAGTCTCTCTCTAAGGCAGGGAAAAGTTCCTCCAGCTTCTTTACCTCCTCCTGTTCCTTCTCATATTCCCTTTCGTTCAGCTCCAGCTTGGCCTGAGATATGAGGTGGTGGTAGTGTTAAAAAGAAGAGATATGACTGAATATAACTGCAAGGTACATTTTAAAAGAGTATTTCTATTTGCAAGTCAAGTACAGAAATAAAAATCACATTTTGGGAGTGCACACATTCACCAAAAGAAATGTCAGTGTAATCTTATAGTAATATTTTTCACACCACTTCCCTGATTTACAGCAGACAAAATCCTTAACTCTTCCAAGCCGAGCTGATGTTTCCTCCACTGAATTAACTTTTTGACTACTTACAAAAATTGAGCGTTTGAGGGCTTTGAAATAAAATCTTTCTCATTTGTCTGCACAGTGCCACAGCTTACTGCATCTCAGCCAATGCTGCGTTTCCCTGAGAACCACTTGCTGGCAGCAGAAACATTCCCAGGCGAATGAATGTCAATCATTCCACGACCGTGCACAAACAGCAGCTATACGAGACCACAATGAGGGCGGCAGATCGAACGTGGCCTTGTCAGCCGTGACTGCGGGCTGATGAGAATCAACAAATATGCCTTCTGAATGTGTGCGACATAATTTAGTCAGCATCACAAGCTTCTGCTACTGTCAGTGCAGGGAACAGCAGTTCAGAGAGCACACTTGTTACTGTTCTGTATATTGATTCCTTCTTCTTCAATATGTACTTTGGATGAGGAGTAGTGTGGTTTCTACATTTTCGAAGGAAATGTATGGAAAAAAGATCAACTTTGTCATCAGTTTTTAGTGACTAAAACTCTTCAGCTGACACTGAAAGGCTAAAAATATCTATAAAAATTAAATAAGTAAATAAAAAGTCCTTTTAGAGATCCTTTAGCACCTTACGTGACAATATTGTATGTACCTCGATTTCTTCCATTTGACCATCAAATGTTTGGATTAAGTTTTCAATTTCCGTCTCCAACATTTTATTTTTCTGCCAAGGAGGGAAACAAAAACAGTTAACTTTGTTTTTTATTCAATTAATGTTGTGTAATTCTGCACCGCCATGTAACTTTTACTGTGCAATGTACCTCCTGGAGCAAACTTACCTCCTGGAGAACTCTTTCTGCCTGCTTGTTTTCAAGCATCAAACTGTTGAGCTGAAGGCTCAGTTCATCAGCTTCTTTCTGTAAGCTGCTAAGCTTTGTGCTTAATATCTTCATATTCTGCTGGGCCTGTTTATCCTGCAGAGCTGGCAAATTCTCTTCTCGAATATTGCCCAAATCCTTCTCCAAATGTCTGATCTCCCTCTCCCTCTCAGAAATCTGCAGTGTTAACTGAAAGATATGAAAGAAGATTAGATCGAAAAAGCTGTCCTAAACTCAATCTGAACTCGTGTTATGCTAAATTTTCAGCTGCCAGGTTTGACGACTCACCCATTCATTTTTCTCCTTCAGGTGTGTAAGTGATTGTTTTTCATGTAAAATCAAATTCTCCACATTTCTAAAAGAGGGTGAAGACGGCTGTGGCTCTTCATCCAAACGGAAAAGCCTTTCTATCGTGTGGTTGTGAAACATCTGAAGGGTTTTGATTAAGTTGGACTCACTCTCCCCCAATTCCACATCTAGTGCTGCTTTAATGCTGACCAGGGCATTTGGATTGGCTCGGAAACATCTGATCACATTTCTGACGGACCTTTTGATGTCCTTTTCAAGCTGAGCAGAATGCGTTTTCCTTGCGTCTTCTCCTTTTGCTCCATGAAGCTCAGCGGATTCTTGTTTGAGAGAGTCATTTTTCTCTAGTTTTTCTTTTAATAATTGATGTGCCTCAAGGGCCTTGCTCAAGTCACTGTCCACGACATTGGAACTGGCATAAATCCGATGGATGCAGGGCAGAGCTGCCGCTGCCTCAACTTCATTGATGCATTTTTCTACAATGTTGGAAACCCGTCGTGCCTCAAGTGAGAGCTTATTCTTTTTAAACAACAAGGCAACCTCTGACTGATTGTCTGCCATCCCCGCTGCCTCCTTTCCAGATGTATTCTGACTGAATCATAAAAAAAATTACAATATTATTGTACAGCACATGTTAAAACAAAATTATGCATCCTATTAGAATGACAGTAATCTACATTGGTTTATCATCTGTTTGTGGCTTCCATACATGCTTACAAATAGTAGATCTCTGTTGCGTATCCATACGTGTGCACATATGCATGCATATAGAAATATATAAAAATGTACACACATATAAAAACAATATATTATTTGTTAGTACTTTATTCAAATTGTATACTACTAAAAAAATGTATTTCAGAACTGATTTATTTCTGACTGTTAAAGCTTCCCCTTTGGGATCACTGTGTATGTGTGTATATATATATATATTTATGTATATATATTTTTTAATCCAATGGTAAAAACTTACAAATCCTGAAAAGGCTCCAGTAAAGCCAGGTTAGCTAGCCTTCAAAGTGGCATTTTAATAATGGCAGATTAAAATGTTATCTAACTGCATTAATAGCAAGCATGTTTCTGCTGTTTTGCTTTTCTTACCTTTTCGAGCTGGGTGTATTGGTTACTTTATTTTTGTTACCAGTTTTATTTTCTAACCAGTTAACTCCCAAATGTGAGGTGAGAAGTTGTTTTTCTACCTGTGACTGTAGTATCTGGCGACCGTCCTTCGGGTAAAAGCGTCGGTGACTGTTGTTAGCAACGACAGCCGGAAGAAGCCCCTTAAGTTTCCTCATCAATGTCCTCTCTTTTTAGTCTGAGATGTTTACTCCACCAGTAATGGGCTACTTCATGTGTTGTCTTATTTTGTTTATTGCGCTATAAACGAGGTCTTTTTTTTTCAAAATTTCGCATGCATGTATATTAAATCGTAATTTTTTGCCTCCTTCATAAGCACAAAAAAAATACTGAATGTACAATCTGTGGCGGAGGAAGTTTATAAGAGGGTCACAAACGACATCAGAAGAGTGTAAACACAAACTAACTGAACGGTTAAAACGCCATTTTGAGCACAATTGACAACAATTGGAAACCAATCTAAATCTGGAAAGGACTTGGTACATAATACCACGTGTAATTGGGACTGAAAAATAAGGTTTACCCAGTTAATCTAGATGTTAGTGACCAAGGACTCACAATCTAATGCTACAATTACACCATTACACCAAAAAACTTTAACCAATGGTGACTTTCCTATTCAAGTAGTCACAGGTTAATGTGACACCTGTTGTCATATAAGTTGCACATATAAAGATATATTACCCCTTTTCCAACACACTTTTTCTTCTTGCAAACCAAAAAAATAGGTGGTTAAGTATTTGGAAAAACATCTTATCAAATAAATCGATGGTAATAACACTGGGACTTTTTACTAACCGTACCAAACATTTTCCCTTCTATTTTGAAAAGTTGGCTGCCGCCCTCAAACAGCCTGCCGTAAATGAATTTGGTGCCGTGAAAGTTTGTTGATCTATCTGTGGATCTTCTTTTTGCCCTACCACTGGTGTCCGAGAATGTTGTGCCTGAAGAGATTTAACACTTAACTCTCATGATTAAATTAGATGTACAAGTATTTACTTGACGATAGGTAATATGTTATAATATATATACATACAGCATCTGTAAACCAGCAGACAGATTGTGCACCGATGATACCGCGATGGACTCCGAGAGACAGCCTCATCTTGTTAGCTTAAGTGACATTAAGCCAGTTATTGTGACAGATGCCATGCGTGAGAGGACAAAAGCCAAATTGTCAAGTAACAGGCATCTTGGTCGCTTTACTCAACTTAAGAGGTGCTGATAGAACATTTTTGCTGGAGACACTCAAACCTGAAATCCGCTACACAGCTTAGAAATTCTTCTGTTTTTTAGCTAACAGCTACCGTTAAGCTTCTCGCTGTCTCTGCTCCGTGAAAATGTGCAATTCCGTTGCGGATTGCAGTTCAAGCCGTGGAGTTATCTAGCCAGTTTGAAGCTTACAGGAACTCCTCCTGAGGGCTTGGATTCAAAGCAGTTTGCTGCTTGTTTATCTGCCAGTATGGAGTCTGACGACGATGTGCCTCTTATCTTAACCTGGGACGAAGCGAACAGCGGTCTGCTAAACGAAGAAACAGAAAGAGGAGATGAAAGTGAGTTTACTCTCCTATTGAAAAGTCATGTGAACCACTTGCCTATTTAGGAATATCATCATGATCCACGGAGAACATACACTATTGTAGAGTAATACAACCCCTCAGTTGCAGAATGCATAAAAGATTTGGAGAAGACTCCTACCTTTTAGTGTTTAACTTTGTGCATTGCAATTATTCAAAATTGTATATTAATGATTATTCTAAACTGCTGTTTTACATTCAGTTAAATAGATTATTTCTGTATATTTTAAAGGACTAAAGTGAAAGCATCACAAAAGTCCCTTTTTTTCTACATGAGCACATCTGCAGAAAAAGAAAACTTTCACAAATTCTTTTTGGGATGCAAATGAGCTGGTTTCCCAAATCCAGTAATTACAGGAAACAAAATGATTTAGCCATCGATTACTTTTTGTCTCCCCCTACTGTTGTAAGATTGAACAACACTGTCATAGAAACAAGTCTACATGAATTCTGCACATTTACAGTCATGGACATTCATTTTTTTTCATATGAAAGATCTCACAAAAACATCAAGCGACCATAAAGTAAAAGATGATGATTGTGATCTGGAAACCAAAGTTGTGAAGCGTGGTATTTTCAGCTCATGCACACTCAGTTTCAGGCTCTGTAGTGTGCAGATCAGAGGTTAGTTTATCTCAAAAGCACATCGTTTCGGAGATCACAAACCTCTGTAATGTCGTGTTAATCTCAAATGCAATGCATTTATTTTCACTAACGTGTTCTATGCAGCTTGTTCTTTCATTTCATGACATCTCATAAGCCAGTACTGGTTTTGTTTTGCTTTTTGAAAACATTAAAAGTGGTTAAAGAACTCTTGACATAATAAACATTTGATGACTTTATTAAAGGTGATGCGTTGCTGTTATTTAAGGTTTCATCACCAGGTAAACTAGTTTAAGAAGCTCAAGTTAAATTATCTGCAGCAACACAACATTAATGCAGTTGCTAAACGTATTCAGAAATTTGCATAGAGCAGTCAAATGTTTAAAAGGATCAAAACTTTAAGTGTTTCTAACGTATTATGCAGACAGAGTTTGTTACAAGGGAAGTGTAATTTCAAATTGGCGTGAGGTGTTTACTTTTAGTGGAGTGTGTGTTTTGGTGGCCTGACTGCTACTCTCATAGTAAATTGCATATATTGTACAGTAAGTTGTCATCTACTTACAGTAATTAAGTCTGATGCAGGCTGAGGCTGTCTGATATTGGGATTCATGAAGTCCGTGCTCAATCACAACATGTTGTCCACCGGTCTCAGATACCACGTGTGTGAGCAGAGCGCTATTTGTATGTGATTCCATGCAACCACTCAACATAGTAATCCTGCTGTCTTTGTTTTGCTCACATATAAGCTACAAAATGAACCATCTGAGAAACCGCTGACTCGGCGCAGCGGGCAGCCCCACTGCCCCTCCCTGTTGCTCCTGGTCATCGTGTCTGTTGTGTTTGTTGAGGTCTGCAGTCCAAGTGGAAGTGTGTCCGTGTATTTGAGTTTACTGGATCATTTTCTATGACTCCAGGGGTGAACAGGAAGAAGCCAGGGAACGTCTAGGGTTTGTCTTGTTTTTTTGTTTTTTTCTGCCTCAGGATATCTGGGAGTTCTGCACAAGTTGGACTTTTGAATGCTGCCTTTGCATGTGACTGTTTGAGCTTTCTGGGAGCTGGGTGGTTGAACTTGGACGCTGAGAAAAAGAAGGCGGTGTTGTATCTTCTCAGTCACTGCCACATGCCTGGAAGTGTGCAGTTTGACCTGATTGCAAGTGCTCACACAAGTAGATTTAGTTTTTTTTTTGTATTTGTTGTTTTTCTTGGGGTGAGATGATTTTTTTGTCACTGTGAACTTGACCTGTGATTTTTGGGGCTCCAAACATATTATTTTCTTCAACAAACGATCGGTTTAAGCAGCAGGTGGAGGACGCAGGGTGCACTCATGTCCGGACAGCAGGCTGCTGCTGCTGGGTCGGAATCTGATCTGCACACTTAAGCTCAATCTGCTGCTGGATCTGTGGACGGCAGATATCTGTGACTGCATTTGAATGCCCCATGTGACCGACAGCACTGTTGATTCCACCAAGTGCTGAGCCTGAGGCAGGCCCATGTGACCTGCAATGTGCACCCAACTGGGACAGGATCAAAGCCGGGACACGCGCAGGGACTACTTTTTTAAGAAAGGACATTTTTGAATGATTGTTATTATTAATGAGAGATCAACATCAATTCTCTAAATGACAGATGTTAAAGTGTGTGTTTGGATGTCACCTCTTTCAGCTGTTATTTAGAGGAGATACACTGTCACATTTAGCTGTACATCCCGCTACAGTTTTTCTACCTCTGTTATCAGAAATATTGACGGTTTCCATGGCTCTTTATGCTAACCTCTCTCTGTTACATAACGCAACATTAGCTCCTCTTTTGGTGTTTCTGTCCCGTGTCTGGATCCTGTCTCCAGCCAGGGGGGAGATATCTTTGGAAATGTGATATCAGGGAAGCAGCTCTGGAGTTCTTTCTCACTGACTGGATCAAAGTTTAAACTCAGATTGCCCATTGCACTGGCCTCACGTTTGAGTGTGTTCTCGTTGTTACTGATGTTAGAACCCCTCCTCAGCATGGGAGTGTTTCTCAAATCTTAACAGACAAACAATGTTATACCCCCAGAGTTCCTTTGAGCACTGGACCGTGTCTGGATCTGAGAGGATCTAATCTGGGCTTCACTCTGGTGCTTGAATCAGGCCTGAGTGGAATGGTTGCCCATCTGTACCCCCCAGTGTTTATGGATGCTGGCACCAGACCATTGTGGTGTGAATGACGAGCACACTCGTGGTGGTGTGGATACAGTGCATTCACACAGCTTAGGCTGATAGGCAAATCCAGACTGATCAATGGAGTCTTTATATGGACCGGCAGCCGGTTTGCATGACGATCGATGCTGTAAGGAGAACCCAGTAGTGATCTCCTCCTACGCCTCACATGTAGAACTAGACTACACGGGTAGGAACGCACCCTTTCTGTCCAGTCTTTGTGTGACCTATCTAGATTAGTAATAACATTCAAAACTGATGTTTTTCTTTCCTTTTCGCAGATGGGCGTGGTAATTATGACATAATGAACAATGCTGTGGTCTCAACACCAGGACCACAAAACAACAGAAGCCAAAACGTGTCCCTGAGACAAAGCTGGGAGATGAACTACCAGGAGGCAGCCATCTACCTGCAGGTATCCACAAGCAGTGGACTGTGGAACCTTTCCTTTTTCAGTCATCACATGGTCATTTAAAGATTTACCACACCCCCTGTACTTTATTACGTGGACATGGTTAATCTTTGTACCCTCTCCGTTGCTGTATTCACCTGTTACTGCACGCACAGACACAGGAAGTCATGAATCTTTCAATATCCAAGAAACTGCCAAATAGAAGTGAAAGGCTGTAGTAGTGAAGGTGGATCTTATTATGATTAAGAACAGACCCTTTCCAAAATAGTGAATATTCAGACCAGCATGTCAGATTTAGCTCCTGCCTCGGTTTGCCCGAGCACAGAAAAGTCTCTTATATATATATATACATCAATTTTTATTTAATTTATTTTTTTTTCATTTACAGGAGGGAGAAAACAATGACAAGTTCTTCACTCACCCTCGCAACCCCAAAGCTCTGGCAGCATACCTGTTTGCTCATAACCACCTGTTCTACATGATGGAGCTGCTCACAGGCCTGCTGCTGATGATGCTGTCGCTATGCGAAGCTCCCGCCGTGCCCTCATTACGCCTGGATGTGTATGTAAGTCGCCTGCGGAAAACCCGATACACGGCTGTTCAATGACAAACTTACACCCACCGATTCTAATGCTGTAAACAAAACAGAACACCAATATATTTCAGTGCCTGTACAAGTTCAACATGAGAATAAATCAGGCAAATGAAGGCATCAGAGCCATGTGATGTAATTTAGTTTTCTTTCGACATTAATTCTCAAGAATTTACCATCACAAAATCGCAAATTCTAAGACTGTAAAACATGGAGGCAAAAAACAGAATAAAAAAGGATCTCTAAAATTGACATAAAAGCATAAACGCATGGCTTGCTGTAAAATCTCTTGTATATTTTTCAGGTCCATGCCACCCTGGAGCTTCTGGCTTTGGTTATGGTGGCATTTGAGCTCTGCATGAAGCTCCGCTGGTTAGGCTTCCACACCTTCATACGGCACAAGAGGACCATGGTGAAGGTAACTTATACATGCTTTATACTTCCTGATGGACTATCATTCAGACATTTTCAAGAGGCCTCATAGCAATCCTCCTTCTTTCTGGCCCCATGTTGTAGGAGGGTCACAAGTCAGGATTGGCAAATTGCTTTATTGCTGTATGAAAGCAGTCACGCTGTCTACAAACCATAAGTCATTATTTGCTATGTCCCCTGTTGTCTCTTCACCTTGTGCAGACGTGTGTGTTGCTGCTACAGTTTGTGGAGGCCATTGTGGTTCTGGTCAGGCAAACGTCTCACCTTCGAGTGACCAGAGCGCTCAGGCCCATATTCCTGGTGGACTGTCGATACTGTGGGGCAGTGCGCAGGTGCCTGATGATCAAAACTTGTATTTTTACACACTCATGTCAAAGTCATTGCCTCGAAATGGAGATTCCCTCTTAGTTTTATAAAAACTTTCTTAGCACAAACACTTGGAACAAGTGACTCTCTTCAATGAAAGCTGCGCCGAGCAATTAAACCAAACAGCTCACCTTTATTAACGTGTCCCAAAATGTTAATAAACCTAACCAGTATCAGATAAAGGTTGTGGGTTTTTTTTACAAGAGTTTTACATCTCAGTGTGTACGATGGTAATCCTGCACTGTGCCGTCAGTTAGATGTTCTATCAAAGTCTGTAATAGGTTTTTAATTACCCAAGCAGCAATGATTAGTTCATAAAACCTGAAGAAAAGAGTGACAGGCAGAGTAGGTTGCTTTTCACATACTAAAAGTCTTGATCTTTTGAGGAAACTGTACAAATTGAGGATATGAACATAAAAAGACTTTTCATAATGATGTCAGAGCTACATTTCCTGACTTTCATTTCCTTATTGCTTAGATGGTTTAGCTTAAGACATCTGTCCCAGACATTTTTTTTAAAGTCCAAAGGTTTTTTTTTGGTATGCCTGAAATGCATTATAACAGTCAATGCTTTCTTGAAAGATTGTTGCCTTGAAACAAGGTTTTAAAATGCATTGTGTCAGGACAGCAGTGGTTTTCATTCCTAACAAAACCATCAAATTGATTAACATTGGATTGAGAACAGTCAGAACCCAGAGCAAGGCTTATCCAACTCTGTAGTCATGTTATTAACTGTTGAATGACGATATCAAGTTTGTCTGGGTGGAGCTGAGGGTGTGCAGCTGTTCAGCCAGATGCAGGGCTGACTTGCATTCCACTGTTAAGTGCACATTTTGATGAAGAGGTCACTAGTTCTGGGGATTCCTAAACTCCTCAAGGGAGAGTGAAAGAATTTATTTGTATTAGTTATTTTGTTCTTGTTGCCAGTCAGCAGGGAATCAATGCAAAAGCTTACTCATGTAATTTGATTGTCTTTCAAACATGATCATGTCCTGCTACTGTTATGTCTTCCTTGTGAATTGTCAGCTGCTAGTTGCAGTTTTTAATGACCAGGTGTCTTTTATCCATTCAGAAACTTGCGTCAGATCTTCCAGTCTCTCCCGCCTTTCATCGACATCCTCCTGCTTCTGCTTTTCTTTATGGTTATTTTTGCCATCTTGGGTAAGATCATGTGTTAGTTACAGGTTCGCGTTGCTGCTTTTATGAGTTCTTCAGCTGGAACTTATGAGAAGCGGGAATCCTTTATTAAAATGTGTTTATATTTGGCTTTATTTTTTGGCCTCTCCAGGTTTCTGCCTTTTCTCTACAAACACTACTGACCCGGTATGTGAAGCCGTTACTCTTCTAGACGATAGGAACACCTTGTGCCACTTGTGTATCTGTTACTGTCTGGTTAGATTTCCTTCCTGACTTTAACTCTGTCTTCTCACCACAGTACTTCAGCACTCTGGAGAACAGCCTCGTCAGCCTGTTCGTGTTGCTGACCACAGCAAAGTAAGCACGACAGTGATCTTTATACCCATGCCGTGAGGGCCGCAGTTCCTACTTTGGAGCCTCTTAACATGTTTTTTTTCTCTTAGTTTGCCATTGTGTTTTGTTCTCCATGTTGTTTTTCTCTCTCTCTTGTAGTTTTCCTGACGTGATGATGCCAGCCTACTCCAAGAACCGCTGGTCTTGTGTTTTCTTCATTGTTTACCTCTCCATAGAGCTTTATTTCATCATGAACCTGGTACAAATAGTCTTGTTCCCACTTTGTTATTTTTCATGGAAATGGCTTCCAGGATTTCTCACCCGTAACTTCTTCGTGTTCTCTTCCAGCTTCTCGCTGTGGTGTTTGATACATTTAATGGTGTTGAGAAGATGAAGTTTAAATCTCTTTTGCTTCACAAGCGCTCTGCAGTTGATCATGCCTTTCAGCTGCTAGTGAGCCGACAGGTCTCTTTGCCATTTTCAGATCAGTTACTTACTTAATAAACTGCTAAAATACCCTCTGGGGATTTGATTAATTAACTCTTTAATGGCTTCTTGTGCTCCTTAGAGACCGATGGGTGTGTCTCTTAAACAGTTTGATGGTCTGATGCGTTTCTACAGACCACGGATGTCAGCAAGAGACCGCTTCCTTACATATAAAGCTCTGAACACATCCGGGGCTTCCATGCTCAGGTCTTTGCGCCGTGCCCTTTTTTTTTCTATGAAAATGAGTTCTTACTGTACTACAGTCTAATTAAACAGGAGTCTTTTATATTTTACAGTCTTCAGGACTTTTATAAGTTCTACGAGGTCATCGGTCTGAAATGGAAGGTAATTACTTTTGCATTTGCATTAGCACTTCATGGCTGCAGCAGGTTTTGTTTGGTGCCCCTCACCCCTGGATGTCGTGAGCATGTGTAACATGTGTAACGTCTGCGTTCCGTAGGCACGTCGCAGCGGAGAACACTGGTTTGACGACCTTCCACACACAGCGTTTCTCATTTTCAAGGGCAAGTTTTCTCATTTTCCTTTCCGCTAACGGCTCGTCTCACATTTTTCTGTCATGTCCTAGTTGTGACTGCGTTCCTCTTTACAATAATAGGGATCAACCTGCTTGTGAAGTCAAAGGCCTTCCAGTACACCATGTGTAAGTGTGATCGCTCATGTCCGCCCTGCTGCCATCTCAGAACCGTGACCCTGCTGTTGTGATTGCAGATGTGGTGGTGGCCATCAACGGTGTGTGGATCCTGGTGGAGACGTACTCACTGAATAGTAAGAGCTTTCTCGTGAAGCGCGCACACAAAATAAGTGGTGTTTCAATCCGCTGATCTCTGACCTTCCTCTGTTCCTGCAGGTGGTTATTCTTGGTCCAAGTCAGTTCCCTGGAGTTATATTGTTTTCCTGACTAGTGAGTAGAGCTGGTGCTGTCTCTCACCCCACCAACACACTCAAAGCAGCACGTACACACTGTAAGCCTGCTGGCACTAACATCCCTTCTGTCTCTGTCTTTTCACCGGTAGTTTATGGTGTAGAGGTGTTGTTGAAATTAACAGGTTTGGGGCCAGTGACTTACTTCAGCTCAGGGTGGAATCTGTAAGTAATGATTCTTCCTGATTTTAGGCCATTCATATTGCTAGCTTGTGAAAACGGACGCTGACCTCCCCATGCTCCTCTGTCCAGGTTTGACTTCTCTGTGACGGTGTTTGCCTTCCTGGGCCTGATTGCTCTCGCCTTCAACATGGCCCCCTTCTACTTCATTGTGGTGCTCAGACCACTCCAGCTGCTCCGGTGCGCACTCATCCTTTCCCACCTCGAAGCTGAAACTGTTCTCTTACGGTTGCCATTTTTCTTACGACTCCTTTTTTCATCTGTTGTCTCTCACAGGTTATTTAAGATAAAGCAGAGGTATCGCAACGTGTTAGACACCATGTTTGAGCTCTTCCCACGAATGGCAAGTCTGGGACTGACACTCATCATCTTCTATTATTCCTTTGCCATCGTTGGCATGGAGTTCTTTGCCGACGTAATTTACCCCAACTGCTGCAAGTGAGTCACACCGTCATCATTGTTAGTTTGATTCTGCATGCTGGGTTATTTTTCCAGCGCCCAGTGTTCTACCAAGCATTTAGACACAGAAATGATTCCAATAGTCTTTCTTTTTCTCTTTTGTTTATTTCATCTCCAGCACCAGTACAGTGGCAGACTCCTACAAACTGATCAACGACACGTCTGCCAACAAGACGGTGTTGGAAGATGGCTACTATTATCTCAATAACTTCAACAACATTCTCAGCAGCTTTGGTAAGTCTTTATCTTTTTTCAAGATCAAGGCTGGTTCCACTTTGTGTTCGTTATGCTGACATGCACGGTGGTTTTCGCTGCGTTGGGTGCTAAAATTCAGCGGATCATTTAAAAAGATGTCCTCATTTCTCTTGCAGTGACTCTGTTTGAGCTGACAGTGGTCAACAATTGGTACATCACCATGGTAAGGTCAAATCTGTGGCTGTTTAGCCTCCATCGTTCCGGGTGACGCTGTTTGACTGCGACTGTGTTCATTCTCACAGGAAGGAGTGACGTCTATGACGAGCCACTGGAGTCGCCTGTACTTCATGACTTTTTACATAGTCACCATGGTGAGGGTTTCCATGGTGTTTTGCTCCATAGACTGTTTTCATTAAGATATGCCTTCACTGTAGTTTGAGAGGACTTAGCATCTCTTGGTTTGTGCCTCTTCAGGTGGTGATGACCATCATTGTGGCTTTTATTCTTGATGCGTTTCTGTTCCGCATGAACTACAGCCGCAAGAACAGGGAGCCGGTGGATAATCCAGAAGGTGCATTTGAGTTTCTGAATTCACGTAGCAGACATTGATATAATACATGTGAATACTGTTAACATCTCAGCACAAAAAGGACTCCTTTAATTAATAAATGTAAAGATATTCTAATGTGATTCCCACTGTTGTTAGGTTTGTTGTCAAAGGATAAATTGAATGTATGTGATTGTACATGTTGTAGATGAAAATGGGATAGTGTTCGAGGTAGAGGTGAGTCGAGACGAAGTTCTGGCCACCTTCGAGCTGTACAAACAGACGTGTCCAGGACTGTCTTCCCTCAGTTCTCTGACAAGAGTCCTACAAGCTATGGACAAGGGCGGGGTAAGAACACAGAAAGGAAGCTCTCCTCCACTCTCCTTCACATACTCAGTACTAACTACTGTTTTGTCATGCACAGCACTCGTCTCTGGTGTACCTGGGCCGCAGGTCGAGGACAAAGAGCGACCTCAGCATGAAAATGTATGAGGAGGAGATCCAGGTCAGGGACAGCAGAAATGATGCGGTGGGCCACGACTGTGTTCAGACATCCTCTCTTCATCTGCTGTATGCCTTGTTTCCCCAGGAGTGGTATGCAGAGTATTCAAGGGAGAGCCTGCCTCAACCAGACCAAAGCCCAGAGCCAGATCTGGACAGTCCTGTCTCCAACCCGTCCCCCCTCCCTCAGCTGAATTCACAGACTGGACATCACAGCATTAACTGATGCACAGCATGCAAGCTGTACATACACACCGTCATCAAGCAGAGAAACCCCAGCACTCCCAGCTACCCCATTCACTGTTACCCCGAGTGGGGGGAAGGAATCTCGGGGCCTTTTGGGCTGTTGTGTGAGCGAGATGGGTTTAATGGTGTCCTCCTCCTGGAGCGAAACGGGAGCGTTGAGCGTTGCCCTTCGTTTGGCCTTTTGAGAGACTGCAGCAAACGCTGCCAGAAAGCCGAAACCACCAAGAACTGTTGTGTATGTATTCTGATGCTGGCCCATGTGCCCTATTGTAAACCATGTAGTACTTAAAACCAAATGCCTTAGTTTAACGGCTCATATGATCAGTATTAACACAAACTAGTTCAACTAGATTCTCTAAAAACCAAATGAATACAAATTTACACTCCTTTTCTCTCAGCACAGCAAGTGATGTTGTACAGTCTATCCTAACTGTTTCAGCAGACTCAAATTATTTTATATAACTTCCCATTCCATTATGTATTTGAATTAATAATAGATTTTAATAAACAGTTCAAATCAGTAAGTTGTTACTGTATTACGGAACTGCTGGGAATAATACACATATTATGTTGGTTTGCAGGGACCTGCACGATGTAGGAACAATGTTATGAGAAGATTATTGTTGAATGTTGCAATGTCCACAAGATCTGCTATACATCTACCAAGACATCTGTGCATTATGTTAAGCATACCACTTCTAAACCTGTGTATAATACCTAGTTGTAGAAGATCCTCAAAAGCAAAATGTCTTCTAAGCGTAGTGGAGCCTGCTTCAAAGTATCCATGCTCAACCCATTAGTTCAGGTTTTAAAAAGCCTGCCATTTATTACAGTTTCAGTAGTTTTTTACAAAACTGACACATTGTACATATTGGTATCACAGTGATAAATTTAAAAAAAAATAATTTGCAATTCTAACTTGCAGACAGCATTTTAAAAACTAAACCAAAAATTTAAAATCTCCAAAAAGCAGCTTTGTTTAGTCATTAACATTTTGATTAACGGCATATTCACAATGTTTTAAATTACAACATTTCTACATGGGTTGTTTCTCAGGATACAAAAACAGAAACGTTAAGCCAAATAAAGGCACAGAGGTCCCTGAGCAGAAGAGTGTGTGTTGGTGCATAAATACTGCAGGCAGAGGAATTTCATATGCACCCTTTGCAGCCCCTCAGGTTACAGTCTTTATCAGAGAATGACCTGTTTTAGACTGGCTGCAGGTCCACTCTCAGGTCAGGTATGTATCTTGTGAAACTCTGTGAGAAGTGCAATGAGAAGGAAGGTGGCGTAGAAGACGAGGAGAAAGATCCCATAGGTCCGACCCAAGTGGAACTGGCAGAGCGGAACAATGATAAAAGACAGGACCAAAGACAAACCCAGAGATCCTGCCAGAATCCACGTTAGCAGCCCCTCAGATTCAAACTGAGGAGAAAAAAAGAGACAGAAATATTTGTATCCATACATTACTTATATTGGCAACTTCTCTGGTGGTAAGAGGTGAGGATTACCTGCACATCAGACTGAGTCTTAACCATTTGCGTCACACATCCCAAACCAACTCCCAACAGCATGTCTGAAGGAAACAGTTAAGGACAGTCCTCAATCCCCTAATCTGACAATAATTTGGGTTTTCCCTTCTAACATAGAAATAAGGATACTGAAAATGATGCCTCCAAAACAGGCAGATATGGCCATCCGTGGGTAACCCTGCTTCGCAATCGTGATGTCAGAAAAACAGTCTGGAAAAAGATAGAGATCACATGTCACACACTGTGCACACAAGTGCACCGTCTTTCAAAGGGGAGCTCACCTCCGATGCTATTTCCCCAGGCCAGGAGAGTCAACCCGAGCACCGTGTTGCTGAGACTCAGCACCACCCCGAGCATGTGCAGAAGACTAACCACCTCTGAGGCCGCTGCGCTGATCAATACCGCACTCACCAAAAAACCCAAACATGCAAAGAGCTGGACAAAGAACAGGACAAAGTATTACTTACAGCAACAAAAGACCTGGGATTCTAACAGGAGAAAAAGCTGCAACACGTTTATAGCAACACTGGTTTAAAAAAAACTATTGAACCATTGAACAGAACTATTGAACTGACAAATACACTGATTAATTTTTTTTATACGGCTTATTCCTAGTAGGGTTGCGGTGAGGCTGGAGCCCATCTTAACTGTCATAAGTTGACAGGTTACCTGCGCATCACAGAACAAACTACCACACACGGAATTCGTCTTAGTAGTAATTACTAACGAGTAATCATTACCCCTAATATAACCTTCAAAAGATAGGCATTCTGTTCTTTTTGACAAACGCATGTGCTTACTGGATGATATTTGGGGGGAGATTCATTGGTGGTTGTGCAGAAAACGATGGCAGCCATGAACAGCCCCATTAGAAAAAATAGCAGCCAGAGAGGAAACTGATCCTGGATCATATAATCTCCATCTAGGTATTAAAGAGACAAAGGTAGATCTAATGAAAAGTAATTTAACCACAAACTTACAAGTTCACAGCAGCAATTTACTTACATTTTCCAGACTGAAAGAGGAGTACACACACAACAGGAGCAGTGATCAGGTGTAAGCAGTTCAACGGTCGCCTCCAGTTTTTGTCTTCTTTGTCAGGGTCGACCACAGGGATGCAGATAAGCAGCAGCACCTCTAGAGGCGTCTGAGAGCCAGAGGACAGAAGCACAACATCACCAGGAGTACGAATGGGGCTGCCTCGGCCTGCAACGAGGGCCAGATTTACACGCACCCTCAGGACTTTAAGGGCTCTCCAGCTCCATGGTTTCCTCCTCCATTTCCTGTGATCAACCGGATTTAAGGAGCTGAGCAGGATCTGACTTGTGGACTCAGTGTAAGGCAGGAGCGGCCGGTACTCCGACTCTGACATTGGTAAATGTCCGGATCGTGCAGAAAATAGGAAAGAGACAAACAACGAAGACATCAGCCAATGCAAAATAAAACAAGCACACAAAGCTTGATCCTGTATGAGGAGATTTGTCAAAAAATTAATTTGCTTTCTAGTAACCTCTAATTTCCTTTGAATAGCTACAGCCATGTGAAAAGGTTACAGGTGGAAACACCTGCTCTGTGGCTGGAGGACTTTACTAACATAACTCAAGGAAGACAGTTTTCTGATTTTCACTTTCTAAGCTCTCAGCGTGCTTCTATTCTCCTACCATACTCTTCCTGTATAGTCCCATCCATCAGGTCGGGACCGTCGTCATCGGATGAGTCGGAAGAATGAAACTCTGTACAAAAAATTAATCATCGATGTTAAAAGTGGAAACATGTTTGGTGAGATGTTACTGACGACCATGAATATGATTGTTTAACCTGGTATATGTGGAACATTTTGAGAGCTGGCGTTCAAGGAATTTTTTTGCCGATTGTAGATGCACGCGCTGACAATGACGGTCACGACGTACACAGCGTAGAGGCTCAGGTACCCTGGAGGAAGGAAATGAAGCAAAGTGAGACCCTGAAGAAAAGCTGCTGTCTGTTCAAACTCAATATTATAACATGCAGTCAGGGGATGATAAATAACACTCATACAAATGATAACTTCTAGTAAATTTCTATACATTCACTCCTGCGTACTATATGTACTTTTTCTCAAGTTTATTTGACCAATTTAATGTCTATAATTATCAAATAATAATATGATCATATCATTTTAATAAATTATGTACCGTACATTTCAGACATCTTTTAAAATCCTCTTTTGAGCCTGACATTGCTGCAGAGAGGATGGAATTATTCTTTAAAGTAATATAGAAGATTTTTGTGGTAGTTGAAGAAAAGGCACTTGTTGCTTTATACTGCCTCAACCTGTGTTGTAACTTTGTAACAAGTTTAACAGAAATGACGAGACAGGCCTTCAAATTGCCTGACTGAAGTCAAACAAACAAACAAAGACGATGTTGGTAATAAATTGTTGACAGGAAATGGATTTGGTCACAGAGGGAAGCAGGAAGGGTTCTGTACTGTGTGCTATATTTGGTGACGCATAATGTCACCTGATAAACAAACAAAATATTTCCCAGAAACGCCCTCAGAGCATGTGTGAGCTCATGCGTACTTAGTGTTTCTCCCAGTGTGGTGGTTCCTCTGTACAGCATGAGAAAAGTCCAAAACACCGCCACCATATAGAAGATGACGTCCCGCAAAAAGGGGCGGGAGGCCACGGCAAAAGGTTTGACCATGGCCACGCTGCCCGCAACGACTGTGGTAACAAATATGCCCGCTCCTGGAAGGACAGGCACATGTCTTACACCAGGGCTCTTTTTCTCTCATTCATCTCGGATCGTGGGAGTGTGTTCATACCAAACAAGGCTCCAACAGCCATCCCAGCAGTGTGTGGACGGGAGAAGGCCGCCATGGCACTGAAGATGTCCGGGGCTCCATTACCCAGAGCCAGGAACGTCACGCCCTCAGCACAAACCTCAGTCAGGGAAATCTTCACAAACATGTAATCATTTGCAAGAAATGGTACAGTCGCAACAATAAATGGAACATTGCTGGCGCTGGAGTTCCGAGGGTAGAAAGAAAGGATACGGCCACATTGTGGGTGAGGTGCAGAGTTGAGGAGATGGCTGACAGGTTGGGACAGAAACTAGAGGGGTAAAATAATTTAAAAAGTCATCTCAGGATTTCCACATACTGCAGCCTCTCCACTGTGTTTAACAAGCGGATTAAAGTAGAAAACTCCCGACAAAAAGAGCTTCCTTTGAGGAAATCTCGTAATCTTACAGCTTGACAATGAAAACCCTCCACAGTCATGTGACTCGTCTTCACGTGACTGAGCTGACTCAGGGCGTCAAAGCGTGGGAGTAGCCAGCATAAGCTGCCTTTTGCTTTTTACGGCTGAGTCTATGGGCAGGCCGAGGGGGACATATTGCCACTAGCACCATAAGAGACACTTACAACTTAGATGCGGAAAGTCCAAGAATAACAAACAGCACAAACAGCCATATGATCTGTGGAAAGGCAGAGGAGAGCAAAACACACAGTTAGTTCACTGACATGGGCCTGAGTCTACATCACACATGCAAATGCAACAGTTAGTGTGAGTTCATTTTCACTGATAAAAATAGCTTGTGTTGCTCTCACCCTTCTTTATCTGCAGTGGATAAACAAAGTGTGTATCCTGGTACATTTTGGCAGCAAAGTATTATTTGTTCCTTCAACTTGCAGTTCTCTTTAAGAGACACGGTTTTCTTATTATGCAAAGAGGGAACTTTAAACACCATGTGAAAATACATAATTTAGCAAACAGTGAAATTAGTGTTCTACATCAGATGAGTCAACGTTCCCGCTTCTCCTAAATCCAATGCCACTTCCTCAAAATCTGGTGCGGTGCCGCATATGTTCACGTTGCTTTCCGATTGCAGTTTGCTCGTGAGGTTGGGTTCACATAGTACTCACACAGAGAGTGATGGTGAGAGGTGTGAGGTTGGGGGGCAGCAGGCAGAAAGCCACATCGAGGTAGTTGATGAAGCCATCTTCCATGTCACAGTCCGGGGTGTGCTTCACAAACGCACAGCGGTCTGCAGCGCTGCGGTTCATCACAAGGTCACACTGTATACACACACACACATGCACACAAACATGGGTTCTCCACATGTTCCAAGAGAAACTATTGTTGGGACAATGGAGTAAAAGTAGAAACACAATCAGCCATCTTTTTCTTATCGATTTATCGGTGTACGGATGAAAAATATTTACATGCTGAAGGTTTGAAATTCAACATACAACGCACAATTAAGACCCAAAACAACAATGCAGAGCTTTGTTCATACACAGAATGGATGATTTGGAGAATGTTAGCATGTGACATGAATTCTTTCTTAAAAAGATATTATTTCTGAAGTATGTTTGGTATTAACATTTTTGAAGCACTTTGAATTGTCTTTTACACAAAATGTGCTACACAAATAAACTTGCCTTGCCAAAAATGGTTATTTCACAGTGACCCTATCTAACTTAAAACCACTGAACGGACTGCTGTCTCAAGGACAGTTATCAGATTGACAGTTACAGTGTGTCCAACGTGCAAAAGAAAACTATGAAAAAGGGCATTTCTTTATTTCATTTAAGAGTTTGTTATCGGCTTTTTCTCTTTTCAGCACACAAATAGCTCCTAAAGACAATAGAAAGGCGTCTCTTAGTGGATAGTGAAAATGAGATGCATTTAATGATGAGATCTGCAAAGCCTCACAAGTGCCATCAATACTGTATCAGCTGAGATGAGAAGATTTGTTTGTGCCTGATTAGCATGACAACAACATTCTCTAACTGTTATTCTGTTGCTGGTTACAAGTGTATCATTACACGTCAACAAGCCACACACAAATATGAATATCTCTACACAGTCTGGAATCATAAACTAGAATCAATCAGGTTTGACCACCCAGAGCCTGTGCATTCTGTACAGAAAGGGGCAGAGTTCAATCCAAGTTTGCTTGTTTGTTTTTTACATGTTATCAGCTAAAACAGACACACTCAAGTTCTTAAATGTCTTAAAGCCACACATTGAACCTGGGACGGACACGACTCCTGATTATTTTAGGATCTCCGAGCAAACATCACCTTTACCTGACTGATAAAACACTTGGGTGTGTTGTGCCAAGAAAAAATAAACACATTTTCTATTTACTTCTATTTAAAGAACTGCCCTGGGGTAAACGCGTCAGATCATGCTTAATTTATACCTGTTTTCTCTTAAAAATCATGTGACAGCTCCTAAGGAACCGCGGTCAGTCAGTACCCAGCTGACATGTCTCGCATCTCACCCACCTCATCGTTGCTGCTTTTCGGCATCACCGTTAATAGAGTGGTAGTTGAGGGCTGTCCGGCCACTCCGATGACAGAGGGGGTCCGGAGGACCTGTGAGTCCGAGGTAACCCCCCGGCTACACAGGGCCACGAAAAAAGGCAGAACAACACGAAGAGACATGGTCCTGTTTATCCGGGAGCCGCGTCCATGCTGGTGCTGCGTTTACAGGACAATGGTGTGTTAGTGTAGTCCGGGGAGGGATTCCTGTTCTCCAGACTTGACAGCTTCGATAAAACCATTAAAAAACCCGTTAAACAACTATGAAGAAATATTTAGAAATTACGCAGTTGTTGTTCTAGTGGTAGCCCTCCCACATCTCCTGTAACGTGTGTTTCAACACTACGAACGGCGACACAGGTCTGGTGTCAGTGTACATTTTGTACACCTTCATCGGAGGCTCCGCCCAACGAGTTTCCCATAATACGTGTGCCGCGTTCAATGGCTTGTCATAAGATCAGAATTTAAATTATTCAAATCACGGCGATGGATTGTGTTAGATTATTTGAAAAAAACGTACTGTATTTAAAATATCAACCAAGAAAGCAGAGTGGATAATACTCACTACAAATATCTCCTATTGCATGAAGAGTATTATATCAATAATAAAGTTATAGCTGAACTGCTTGTGGTGGACGCCATTGTAGATAATCGGAAACTATGGGATGTTTTTTAAATAGTGTGCACTTTATGTACTGTATGTGACCAAGAGAGGAGTGTGTTAAAAGTGTTATCTTGCCATAGTGATTGTTTTATCCAAACAAAAGATCCACCTTTATCACAAATATTTTTGTAAATCGTCAAACAGTTATGAGGAAAACAGATATTATTTCAGAAGCTTAAAGCTTATCATTCTATTTTATCATTGTTTCTCTTCATTTCTTCAATCCATTAGTTTTAATCTTCTAATCAAAAATCAGTACAAAAATAGCTAACTGTCAAGTCATAGCTTCTTTTTGTAAATAGATAGCCACAAGGAACTAAATGTCACGTATGGCAGAGAAAAACGGTATTTTCCCCTAAAGAAATTGTCATTACAAGAAAACAGCCAGGTAACAAACTTTCTTCAAAAACATTTTTTTTTTTTTAAATTTGCCTCATTACATCCAGTCTTAAAAATATAAAACCCAAATTTGTATCTACAGGAATCTCAATATATTTCTTTATATACATTCTGTGCCATTTTATCTGTCAAATAAAAGATTAATTGACCGGACTATTGTCTTAGCTTAATAAACAACACATTTACTCTAAATTCTACAATATTTCAGTCAGAGCTCAGACATTTTTACAGGATCTTTTTTTTTTTTAATCATATGTTGCAAATATTAAAAGTCCATAGTTATAAGGAAGAATTGCAATCAAAAAGCCAAAACACAGTTCTGTGGCATCATTAGTTGTCTGGTTGCTCATAAACCAGTGCAGCATCCTGTGGTGCAGTGCTGGAATCATAGCAGCCTCTCCTCTGTTTAGCTGCCACTGGACATAACTCCTGCTCACACCACCTGATGACGGAAAGTGGAAATAAGTTGAATAATGTTGAATGAATGTCAAGTTTGGGGGGGGGTTCTTTTTTGTTAAGAGTTGCTTTGAACCTGAGAGCTGCATAGCTGTCTTGTGAAGAGGCTCCTTTCCAGCTAGCATGGTCAATCAGAAGGGCCCCTAATCACACACACAGAATCAAGTCAGATAAATATAAAGGAATGTAACACGGTGTCTGTGATAAAATATCATCAGCACAAGTGAAAGCGTTTAGAACAACTGTCACGTTTGGTTTTTATTCCTGATTTTTCAGCACCCACCTGCATAGATGCGGGCCAGGCTGTACGCCAGGTCTCTGGCTGCCAGCTCCAGGTAGGTGACTGGTTTGGCAGCTGCTGTCTGAACAAACTCCTCCAGCTCAGACAAAGCGCCGCCAACAGCGTTCACAGCTGGGCTGAGGGAGGATGTGCCTGAGGCTGCTGCGAGCAATGACTGCAAGAGATTGAAAGAAGTGCCCTTCACATTCATGTTGAGCTCAGTCATAAATTACAGAGGCTGAACTCGTTTGGCCACATTTGCTCTTCACCTTGACGTGGGCAAAGTAAGCGTGGAGAACCATTCCTGAGCTACGAGCCACACAGCGCAGCACGTCCAGGGACAGAACATTTGTTGTTCCCTCCCAAATACTCAGTACCTGAAACAGAAAGAAATATGAGCCTCGGCGGGATGGCAGGCCGACTGGTCTTATGTGGCGACCTCACCTGTGCATCACGGAGAATTCCCGGCAACCCAGTGTCCTCGATGTAGCCCTGTCCCCCAAAGCTTTCTAAGCCCTCTGACACGACAGCTACCGCCTGAGACAATCACAAGATGAGCGCGGTCTAAACAACACGGCACACATCTCCTCTCACATTTGCACAAGCTGCACACCTGCTTCCCGGTGTACAGTTTGACCACCGGGGTCAGCAGACGAAGCAGGTTTGCATCAAGCTGGCTGGCCAGGCCGCTCTCTTCTCTGCCCAACAGACGACACACCTCCATCACCAGAAGAAAGGCTCCGCGAGTCTCCACCTGTGCCGGTAATGAACAAGTCAATTAGCAGTTTTGGGAAATAAGAGCATGACCCCCAATGCTAGCTTACCTCCATACGTGCCAGTGTCTGCATGTGAAGTGGGTGGTCTTTAAGAGGCTTTCCAAAGGCTGTGCGACGAGTGGCATAGTCACGAGCCAACTGGAGCACCCTGTGAACACACACAAACACACATATGATTTAATCCTACTTATTGCATACTTTTAGAGATCAGAGCAAGAAGAAAGGCAGTAGGACGAGTGATGCCTGACCTTCTCATTGCAGCTGCTGCAGAGACGCTGTTGTGGATTCTGGTTACGGTTAACATGTTCGCTATAGAGGCCACACCTCTCCCCTCCTCTGAGAGCTGTTGTAGGAAAGAAAATACATTTGGATGTTCCAAATTTTTAAACATTTGATTGCAAAGCAGATTAGAGAGTCTGGTTTTTACAGTTATATGTGTTACTCTAATAACAATAATAATTATAATATAATAATAATCATTATGAATTATTCTGACAGCCCACTGAAGGGGTGATAGGCTGGTTTGTAGCACATTGAGCTATAGTTAGATTTAGTGACCATATCAACAAGGACCCTTTCTAGAATCACTACTTAAAAAATGGCTGTGTCCATGTAACTGACTCTGTATGCAGGCAGGCCGTCCAGCAGTAACTCAGCCGTGGGCATCTGTCGAGTTCCCAGCTTGTCTTTGAGTCTCTGAACTTCTATGCCCCTCAGTTGGCCATCTGCATCTCGACTCACCTCGGCATAAAAAAGAGACAAACCCTTGCTGCCCTGGGAAAAAGAGGCAAGCACAAACAGTCAGTGAAGTCATTCCTCATGCACGGCGACAGAGGAGTGAGACTGCCGCGTGTCAGCAGTACCGGCGTGGCCGCCCCTGCTCCGTCCAGCACTCGAGCCAGAGTGAGGGTCATGTTTGCGTCTGTGGCAGATGTGAACCACTTGAAGCCGTGTAGTTTGTAGGAGCCGTCCGTTTGGGGAACTGCCACCGTTTCAGTGCCGCTGGCTGAGGACGGTGAGAAAGACAAAGAGCGGCAGCTGTGTGATCTTTTGGAAACATAGCTCATTCAAACAAAACTAAAATTGGGCATGAGAACTAATGAATATATTAATTAATAACACATTGACTATTTTGCTTCATGAATCTAAATTATTTATTGAACACATTTTCACACAGCCTGCTGTTGTACTTCTGCCCTTCTCTGTCGGATGCAGGTGAAGCAGGTTCACATCGGACATCTATTAAGTGTCATTACTCACCTACATCAGATCCTCCTTGTCTCTCAGTCATCCACTGACCAGATGTCCAGAAAAATTTGGGCTCTCTGGTTGTCAAGCGACTGTAAGCTTCTTCTACAGGCCACGATAATCCTATGGACTGCACATACAGAGCCAGACAATTTTCATTAATCTTAAATTGATAATTAAACTATATGGAGACATGTAGTACAATTATTCCGCCAGTTTTTAATCCTATTTCACCAGCAGCAGCTCAGTAACTCCTCTGAGTTACTTAAACTTATTCAAGTGAGAATGTGGCGATCTGATAGTTTGTGTCACATTCAAATTCAGACAATACATGTGAACTTTTTCTTTATTATGTTCTACTGCAGTGACAACGTTCCCTGTGAAGCCTTTGCACTTTAAAAAAAAGCTGCAATAAATTCTTTATTTTTTGTCTTTTTTGTAGAATATAAACAGTTTTCCATTAAATACCAAAGTAAATCTGATACAAACTTTCTAAAAGATACAAAGAAGAAATAACAAGCACAATTTTCTTTTCAGTAGTTTAAAAAAGTGAAACGATAGAGATGCTCCTCCCAGAAGAGATTTTAAAAAAGGAAAAAACAAAAAGACAAGTGTATAATAAGCGTAATCTCGTAATTCAGGAGTTTCCCATCATAGAACTGATATATGTGCCATTTCGTGTAGTATTTTACAGAATACAGACACATATAAACCTGAAATTGAGCATTGAGACTTCTTTCAAACAGCCTAAACTAATATAAAGTTATAAAGTATTTGGAGGAGTTTCTTTAGTTTCCACATTTTCATTTATTTTCTCTGTATAAATAGGCTTTCTCATTTTTGGCATGTTAGCTTGACTTGTGAGAACCCACCTGGATGACTTTTGCAGCTCCATCAGTCATGGCCAGGGGGCAGGTGTAGAGACCCGACGAGGGAGAAAAAACATACAACTTGCTCATCTGGTACACGCGACTGGAACACACAACCACAAAATAACAGAAAAAGAGTTGGAGGTTATGGAACTTAATTATGTCGAGCTAAAATGAAAACATGTGTTACATACAAACCTCCATTCCCCAAAAGATCTCTCATAACCAATGGCAACCAGTCCCTCTTCTGCGGACAGGTCTTTCATGCGTTTCCAGGCTTCAGAGGTCACGATGTGGTCCACTCTCCGGCCCCAGGGATCAAAACGCTCCAGCCGGGGAGGGTTGACTTCACAGTCTCTACCCCACCCGTCCACTTCTGTTGCCACACGCTCTCCAAATGTTCTTAAGTCTGAGAAAACTGCCTAAGAACAAAATCAAATGTAAAACAAGCGTACAGATGAATGATTCAAACGTATCTAATTGCCTAAGACCAGATATCCTTCTCTGCTGTTTTAGCTGTCTCGAAATCAAACGCTTTTGCTTTAAACTGATAGGACAATTGAGACTAGAATTTAAATTTCTTTGTCACAGGCTGGTGTTTTCATTTTGAAAGTCGTGGGCTGATTGTTGTAATCAATGGAAGAAAAATTAAAGCAGAAAAATATACTAAACACAGTAAAGTTAGGATCCATTTAGAAAAAGTGACAAAACACAAAGGCAATGATAATAACAATAAAAATACACTAAAAGAAAGGGGTTTTATTGTAGAAAGCCCCCTTTTTCATCTCTGCAACCATTTAATTTTAATAATTTTCCCATATTTAAAGAACAACAGTTAGCATTATATTTAACCATTTATTTTCAGTCTACCTCATCAGGCAGGTGTCTCTTCAGATATCCTCTGAGCAGGGCATCCTCCAGAAACGGGTTCTTAAGCACCGGCCGTCCCTGAAAGAACGCCCCGATCCTGGCTCTGCTGAAAGGCGGGTAACCCGCTGCTGCCTCCCAGGCCAGCTCTTCATCAGATCTTCTTGTTCCCACCTCAGCTACACTGAAGGATCTGGTGGATGCAAGTGTTGGAGCAGCCCCTCCCCACAGCCTGCAGATGCCCCCCGCTGCCTGTCTGGTCAGGAGGGCTGGACACAGCGACATGGTTCCAGATCTGCCTGCCGAACACAGTGAAGGCCAATGCAAACCATCAAGCACATTAGGTCACTTTTTCTTCTGTGAAAAGATGTTTGTTCATTTTTGTTTTTAAGTTCCAAATTCAGCTTTTTTGTATCTTAATTAAGTTTTAGCATTTTTGTTCGTTTAAAAATGTTGATAGATAGATAGATAGATAGATAGATAGATAGATAGATAGATAGAT